GTAGGGGTATATTTTTTTTGGTATAGAACGATCCTAAGGGCTGGCGGCATTAAAAATGCGACCTTATTTTTTTACATACATTTTTGGACCACTTTAATGTACATAGATGTATGTGTATGTATGTATTGCATTTTGTCGCACCAACTTGTTTATACGAATTGATGGCGCATTAACTTGTTCATTAAATCGTGCTTGCTGCATTGCTCTGAGTAATCTTCCGCATCTGCGCACATAATCTACCAATGGCGAATAAAAAATTGCTGCACATTACAAGGAAGCGCTCGGTTTGAAGGCGGTCAACCGTGGTACGCGACAAGACAGGATTTTCAGCCAACACAATCCGTGTTATTGTGCCAACGAGTCAACTCTGCTCAGCGGCTTTTGGTTTTGTTACCAATTTGATCTACTGCAATTTGTTAACCAAATATAATTTTTAAAACAATTTTTCCACTCTTTTAGAAAGTGAATATGGTTTGAGGATACGGGAACAAAATAAAAAAATAAGGAAATTGTCGAGTTTTGAAAGCTGTATGCATTTTTTATTTTAAATACTGCATACAACTAGGCGAAGAATCAAAAAGTAAAGGATGGATACATCTCATTTGATTAGCGGCTTGAATGCATTTTTACTAACAAATTCTTAACACTGTTTTTTTTTAATATCATAAATACAAATACATACATATTAGGGGAATTCACAAAGTCTTGCAAAACCCTTGCACGGTGAAGGGATTGCTCGCAGGAACAGGTTTTCCTATAGGAATGCTTTGCAATCCGTGCCGATTAAAGGATTTTGCAAGACTTTGTGAAACCTCCCATTAAGTTAACAACTGCAGCTAAAATAAAATGTTTCCACAAAGATAGCGTAGGTTTCTCTATACATAGCGTAGGTTTCTCTATACATAGCGTAGGTTTCTCTATATTTTATCTGAGCAGCTCGTCAAATAATATCCACTTCTATTCGAGACTTTCAAATATGACATCCTGAAATTTCTCGGGTCGTTTTAGGATCGTGCGCCCAAATATCTAAAGCACATTATTCGTGGTTATGCGCAATCCCACAGAAAGTGTTGAATGTATTTTGTCATTTTTGCAGAATCTGCAGTAATCGTTATGCGAAGCTCCAAACCTGCCAGCATATGACTTGTAGTCCAGTATTCATTTAATAGTCCTGTGAAAAATTGTATATTCAAACTGAGAAGATTTCGAGATAAATTGCAGCATCAGCAGTCATTCCACCACACACACCACTGCAGTAAATAACAATCTTAAACATTTTTTAACAGATATCGTGTCCATAAATTTGAAAATCACCGCTGCTCAAAATTTTTAGAGTTTTGTTAGTTTTTAATTTCTTGAAGTTTTCCCCTTTTTAATAACTTGAGTGGAATTCCAAAATTTTCTAAACTTTCAAACTTTGTGAATTTGAGAAAATTTAGTAAATCCCAATAATTCAATATAATGATGAATACTACATTTCTAGAAATTTTTTATTTAAACAAAAATTTTGAGAATTGTAGGAATTCTAACAAATTTTTTCTAAGTAAAAGTGACGAATATACAAAATTGATCAAACGAAATTAAAAGTTTTCGAATGTTGAAATCATTTTCATATTTCGTCGTTTTTGAAAATTTAAATAAATTTCGTAATTCTTGAAGAAAAAAAATTTTTGGACGTTGATGTTTTCAAAATTTTCATAAAATTTAAAATTCTCAAACTTTGTTATATCAATACAAAATTTTGAAAAGTTCAGAAAAGTGGAAAAATTTTGGAATTTTTCAAAAATGTTAATATCTATTAGAATTCTAAGAATTTTCTATATTTTACACACAAGTACATGAACACTGGAATTTTTCGACAATTTATGA